AGACCTTGGTGGATTTGGTGTTATTAATGACATTGGGATTTAATGCCATATGAGGAATGGATTGGTTGTAAGATTGTTATGCCAACATTGATTGTCATTATAAATATGTGGAATTTAAGTTTCTTGGAGAAGTCCCTTTTATTATATAAGGACATAAGAGTCCGTGTAATAAAAAGATATTGGTAGGGGTCACTAAAGTGGAAACTGGACAGAATTATTTGACGTGCATAGTAGCCATAGAAGAAATGTCAATGGGGGAAAGGTTTCTCGATATTAAAACAGTGCCAATAATTAATGAATTCAAAGATGTGTTCCCAGACAAATTGCCAGGGTTGCCCCCAGAAAAAGAAGTCAAATTTTGTATTAATTTGATTCTTGGCACGGAACCAATATCTGAAGTTCCCTATCGAATGGCATCAGCAAAAATGCGAGTATTGAGACAGCAATTGTAAGAGTTAGGAGAAAAAGGATCTATTCGTCCAAGTACATCCCCTTGGGGAACTCTGGTATTATTTGTAAAGAAAAAGGATGGGAGTTTGAGGTTGTGTGTGGATTATCGAAAGTTGAACAGTGTGACTATTAAGAATAAATACCCACTTCTCAAAATCGATGATTTATTTGATCAACTGCAAGGAGCGAGATGTTTTTCAAAAATTGATCTATGCTCAGGGTATCATCAATTAAGAGTTCGGGAAAAGGATGTACCAAAGACTTCTGTGTGAGGTATGGACATTTTGAGTTTTTGGTGATGTCTTTTGGTTTAACTAATGCTCTCGCTACATTCATGGATTTAATGAATAGAGTATTTCGGTCTTATTTGGATAGATTTATGGTGGTATTTATTGATGATATCTTGGTGTATTCTCGTAGTCCTGAAGAGCATGCACAACAATAGAGGATGGTGTTACAGATACTTCGGGAACATGAATTGTATGCCAAGTTGTCTAAGTGTGCTTTTTAGTTAAAGAGTGTTAGTTTTCTCAGATATGTAATATCAAAGGAAGGGATTAATATGGATCTGGAAAAAGTTACATCGATTCAAACTTGGTTAAGACCAAGTACAATTATTGAGATTCGAAGTTTTTTGGGATTGGTCAGGTATTATCGTCAATTTGTGCAGGATTTCTCGACAATCGCGACACCATTGACAAAGTTGATGCGGAAGGGAGCTAAGTTTGAATGGACTAATGAATGTGGAGACAGTTTCTTAAGATTAAAGGCGTGTCTGATGTCAGCACCAATTTTAAGTCTACCAACTGGTCCAGGAGGGTATATTGTATATTGTGATGCATCAAGAGTTGGATTGGGATATGTGTTGATGCAAAATGTAAGAGTTATAGCCTATGCCTGGAGGCAACTTAAGAAGCATGAGCAGAATGAGCAAAATTATCCTACCCATGATTTGGAGATGGC